TAGTCATTCTTGAACAAAACCCGATAACCTAACCTAACCTAACCTACCCTACCCTATTGATAAATATATTTAAATAATATTTTTATGTATTTTTCCAATAGTTTTACCCTTGAATATTGTTTAAGAATGACTATATAAATATTTACATGCCTAGAAATGTATAAAAATTGGCATATTTATTAGCTTTGAACCCCTATAATTTTTTATGGGGGTGAGACAGCCAGGAACTTTTTATGGTGCAGTGGTGGGGGAAACCTCCTCTTCCGATCGCCCCCATCTCAACCCCCGAAGGGGGTGGGGAACATCATCTACACCTTCACTATTAATTTCTTTTTCTAAAAAGTATGAGCGCAGTATAACATCATATCATCGCTACTTCATGCATTCGTGCATTTACAAAATTTATCTGTAGTTTAATGACAATACTATAGACTATATGAACAAAGGTTTATGCAGAAAAATTAAATTAATGAGAAAAAATCGGTTGTCTGTAAAGTCGGTTTACTGACGATAGTTGAACATGACAACGTCATAAGAAAATACTGATGGAAAGGTTTCATTTTTCAAAAGAAAATTTTAATTTTATTTGTTTGATAGATATGTTGTATGGATATAGAGAAGGAGGTAAATGGAAATCACAATTGATGAAGTTACATTTATTTGTACGCATAAATACAATTATGTCAATTTTTATTTATTTTTTTTTCCAATGTACATAGTTTTTACAAGTGTGAATGTGCTTTGAGTAATTGTTCTACAACTTTTATTTACAACTTTTAAACATCATTAAAATTTTTGTAACTCTAGCTTCAATTCGACAATATATCACCGAACATATATTTAATATCGAAAGAATCATTACCTTTATCGCCGCAATTATCGTTGCTATAAACAATTGACACCACATTCACTTTTCACTGCACTTCATACTTGACGAAAACATGTAAATGTATTATTGTATAGCAGCTGTCCACGCGGACGCATCGCTCACTTAAGTAGGAGAGAGAAAGATGTCAAACGCTGCCGAACGCGGAGGCCGATTGTGGCTCTCGCTTGCACTTCAAACCTTAAATGGAACGCCTCAGAGCGAGGTAACGCCGCATGAGTCATGTTTTTTCGTGCGTGCAGCCGGCTCCATCGAATTATAAGACGTTGTCACGTCAAAAAGTGATCTTAGTTACTAAATGTTTACACCTAATTTACGTCGCATAAATTGTAAATTTGTTGTAAACTTTTGGTAAAGGATAAAGTAAAAATAAAACGTCTAAATTTTCAACAACTCACAAACAGTCATTAGTTTTCGGTTACCCTTCAAATTGACAACTTGTCACAGAAATATTAAAAGCGTTGGTGGTTATCCAATATGCTACAGTTCTCAAAAATGGATAAGTGAGTTACAAAAGTTTAAGAGATCTTATATAAAAATATGATGAAGGAGAACGTGAAAATCGCGAGTCAGTCAAACACAGATTGGCTTAATAGCCTTCCATCTGCGACAATCTTTTTTAATTTGTGCTCGACCATGAGGTAATGCGGAGCTATGAACCTCGGCGAGTTTGATGGTGGATCACGCTCTATTAAATACCTTGATTGCCAAGGAAGACTAGGCCGGAAGAAGATCGTTAATCACGTGTCGCAACTGTGGACTGCCTTCTTCTACTCCCGGAGATGACTGCATCTGTATGTGTGTAAACGTGAATGTGTGTAAAAGACAGAAAGACAGGGAATTGGATAAGCCTAAAGGTTAGAGTGTGTGAAATGGAAACTATCAAGGACCAAGATCCTTATTACATGACGACGACCGCCGAGCCGCGGCGCTATCGGGACGATAAACTGTTATGTTGTGGTATCAAAGGGGATAATGCCACTTACTCCGTCTCGAATTAGCTCGAAGCGATACTGAAGACAATAAGCTATTTATTAAAATCGAACGAGTAGGTTTTCGCCCAATTGGATCTGGAAATAAAAAAAAATCCAGCGCCAGAAGTTCAATTTACCTTCGTTCGTCGAATAAGACAATAATGAAAACAGTTTTTTAGTCGAAAACGTATCAGTTATCAGTATTAGGAGTCATCTGTACTAATTTTTAATTAAGCGAAACTTTAAAATGGAACAATAACGTATTAATACTAGACTTTATTGATGTTGCAATTGCACACGTTGAAGTCGTATGTGCTATATATTTATTATATGTAGCAACTGAGAAATTTCGTTCGAACTTTGATGTTTTGTCGCGCACGAATAACAAAAGACATTCTGTCTTAACTTGTAATTGAAACAAACGCGTTCGCTGTCATACAAACATGCTATCAGGTACCTACTATATAGAAAAATTCACGGTATGTTTTCAAATCTATTTCGCCTTGACGACGTCAGATTCATATGTGCAAATTTTTGGCTTAATTCAGGGAAACGCATTTTAAGACTTATTACTGTACGCTATGAAAGTAGTAAAATTCTTAACCAATAACATATTCCTACACGACAAAACTGCTGTCATAGTTTGCAATTCCTGTTTTTGCTAGATGGTAGAAAAATGTAACGTCTTATCAACGCTATTTCATGCATTCGTACATTTACAAAAATTATCTGTAGTTTGGTGACAACACTACAGATTACATGAATAAGAGTTTAGCTATACAAAAAAATTAATTAATGGGATTATACATAAAATTGAATAAATATTTATAAAGAAAAAAGTGATCTTAGTTACTAAATGTTTACATCCAATCTACGTTTTTCCCATATCCCTGACAATTTATGTACAAAATTTCATGATAGCTTTTACCCCCGGCTTCGCTAACGTTTATGTCCTAAGTAGGCACGTGTCTAAGATCATCGACATCCACGTATCCCTC